GGAGGTCAGGACCCCATGACCCCCTCTAAATCCGCCAGTAATTATTATTATTATTATTATTATTATTATTATTATTAACACATCCCAATACAAACATGCCGTCGCATATTGCTCAAACACTGTTAATATTTAACACTATGTTTTGTACTTGTATATCTAATCTTTTTTATTTTCATGCAGCAGTACATGGGGATATATGTGCATCATTAAGAAAATAAAAAAAAAGAACTCAGATAAGAATCAGTTATACAAACGAGTCCCTTAATGTGTTAGATTTTTTTTATGACTAGAAGAAGTACAAAGCACCAAGCTATAGACCTCATAAAAACTCAACACTCTGAACTTGACCAAAATTATTATCAAAACGAAATCAGTAAAGCGCAAAAAAAAAACATAATAAAAATAAAAAAATTAAAAAAGAGGAAGGAGAAAGGGGGGGAGGCAAAATTACGTATTTGAAGCTGTGCATTAATTGACAGGTGTCTTGGCCCTAGGATACAAGCTGGAGAAAAGACGTGCTTGTTTGACTGAATTTCATTGTGACACCAGTGAACATAGATGTTTCTGTATCAATCTGTATCAATGTGAAGTTTATATGCGCGAACGCGAAAACGACAAACGGTTTTTCTTTTTTTATCCCCCTTTACAACATTCAGATATTTTTCTTTTTAAATACATTTTAATTAATTATAGGTTCTTGGTACTGACGCCTCCTAAGTTCACTTTGCCAGTTTTGTTTAAAGCCGCTACTAACGCGTTCCTGGAAAGCGCTAACTTTAATGTGATTTCTGTTTAAACCGTAAATATCTAAGGCTCTGTTCTCACAACTTTTAGATCGATCTATCACCGCGGGGAGTCTCACTAGATTACTGTCAGATAATCCCCCTTAAGTGTCCGTCCCCGCCTACTACAAGCTTTAAGGGGTAATTAACTTTCGTGTCCGCCCGGCTGACAGCTATTCAGCGCGAACCCCCAGGGAGTTAGGTCGATCCAAAGTAGGTCGATCTAATCTATGGAAATGGGGTGTAAGGCTCTATTCCCATAGATTTTAGATCGATCTATCCCCGCGGGGAGTCTCACTAGATTACTTTCAGATAATCCGACTTAAACGTCCGTCCCGCCTACTACAAGCTGTAAGGGGGTAATTAACTTTCGTGTCCGCTCGGCTGACAGCTATTAAGCGTGAACCCCCAGGGAGTTAGGTCGATCTAAAGTAGGTCGATCTAATCTATGGAAATGGGGTGTAAATTCCTTTTTAAACCAGAACTTCATGATTTCAGGTTATATTTGCTTTGAATTGAAAGCAATTTCTAATATTTAATTCTTCTACATGTATATAGGCACGCATATTTAAGAAAATTAATGCCATTCAATATCTTACGCCAAAATTTCGTTAATCGCAATTTTACCTTTTTATATAAGTTCTTCCAGTTTCTCCTCCAACTTCGTGGATTGATATTTTGGAATGGACACCCAAAAGATGTTAACTGAA